GCGCAGCTGCTCGTTCTCCCGGAGCGCGAGGAAGAGCTTGTTCTTGAGCGCCGCCAGGTCCCGCAGGGCGTAGCTGTGGTCCGAGGGCTGCTGGGGCCCCGCGCGCTTCGCCGCCGCCTCGGCCTCGGGCCTGCAGGGCACCGGCACGACCTGGGGACAGGCCGGACACCGGAAGCACTCAGGCCCGGGCGCTCCCGCGTGGGCACAGCGGGCACCCGTGGGTGGGAAGGCTAATGGGGTGGCCACCTGCCCCGGGGGCCGGGACCGGCACCGTCTGTGACACGCGCACGGGCGTCTTACCTCGTAGCCCGCGGCGTCTGCATCCGGGGGCAGCGGAAGCTCCTCCAGAGCGGCGTCCGTGCTTCTCCCCGGGCCATCGGGCCCCGCCGTGGGCAGGACCTGAGGAACGGGGCCCAGTCAGTCGGCGGCCGGCCACCACAGCCGTGACTCGCTGGCCCGAGGGGCTCGGTGAGCAGGGGCCGCGACACCCCAGCCACGTCCCACCAGCGCCTGGACACGGAGCCCACCCTGGGGCCCCACGACCCGAGCGGCCCAAGTCCGGGCCGAGGCCCGACACGGGACAAACCAGACCCGCTCCCACGAGGCGCCCGCGTCAGGGGCCATGGCCCCCACTGAGCAGGTCCGAGGACGCTAGGACCCTAATTCTGTGTCACCCCAGGGTGATGGATTGAGCAGATGCCTTGTTGGTGGAGTGACCCTCTTACAGAAGACACTGCCTATCCCTCAGACGCCACCGACAAAGTGGGCATCCCCAGGGCAGCCACCATCCATTTTCAACCTCCATGACTCCATGTGATGGAGCCAAAGGTACCCTCAGAGTTTGCCAGGTCTTTCTCCCGCAGAGCTGCTGGGTGAATTCACACGGCCACCTTTGGGTTAGCAGCCAAGTGCTCCTCACTGAAAAACAAGGACTCCGAATGACCACTGATTGCCCTTCTCGGGTTGTTAAACTGTGACCTCTAAGACATAACCTCAATCCATCGATCTGTTTCCCCACAAGTGTTGTTAGGTAGTTAATGTGTGCTCGGTGTGCTAGTATTGAGCATCCGCTTTGTGCTGGACGGTGTTCTGGCCCGCGCTGGGGATAGAGCGGGCAGCTAAACAAAGGCACTGCTCCCCTGGGGCCGACATCCCATCAATGGTGTGAAGGGCCGGGGTGGGAATAAGGTGGTCAGGGCAGCCCGCATGGGAGGGTGAGCAGGCCTGATGTGGAGGCAGCAGGCACTTGGACGTCTGAAGGCAGGGTCACCCCTGAGGTGTTCTTGGTGGGTCTGCTGCTGGGGCGGCCACCCTCTTCGTGAGGGCCGTCTGTCATTCTTGATTTCCCCTCTCCGCCCTGGCTCCCAAGGTGATGGAGCTAGCTGGTTTGGAGTGGCTGGGCAGTCGGTCCACAGGGGAAGCACACTAGTGGAAGGTTGGAGGCTGAAGTCCACCCAGAGGCACCTTGGAAGAAAGGCCTGGCAAAGGACTCTGGGAAACAGCCATTTAGAAGCCACGGGCACACCCACGGGGCCTCTGTGAGTTGATCAAGGACAACTGGTACCATGCTTCTGTCAGGCTTCACTCGGGTCTGCTGTGCCTTCATGACCCGTGGAGTTTTATACAACCTACTCTTTTCTCCAGCCAGACCCTGCACGCACGTCTCACCCCTCGAGACATTCCCACCGGAGTCAGTTTTAACTCATAGTGACCT